AAAAAAAAAAAAAAAAAAAAAAAAAAAAAGAACAGGTTTCAAGCAAGTGCCTATGTTCAAGCAAGAGCTCAAAGGGTGAAAGCAATCCAGAAGTTTAGCTACTTTTTAAAGGGCTCCTGAAATCTGGGCCAGGAAATACTGGGAGAGGTAGCTGTTTGAAAGGTAAAAGTGGGTAGGAAAGAATGAACAAGATGCCCATAACAAAACAGTGGTTGAAAATTATTTCAGCTGCTGGAAACAATAATTGAAGAAACCACAAGCAGTCATCATTTCACAGCCAGCTCAACTACAGTGATGGAAATGATGATGGTAATCTCCAGGTATATAATGACTACTAAGGACTTCAACTGCACCATTTCTGAGATTGCTTGTGAGCTGACTTCTCAGTTACCTACAGATTTTTTTATTCTCATTTTATCAAGCAGCCTCCAAGAGCTGAAAACACAAGTCATGATATGGAAAATGTTTAATAGCAATAATTTCCTTTTAGAATGTGTGTCTGGGCAAGCCTAAGAGTACAATTTGCTGATTAGTCATTCTCAGCATTTCTATCTAGCAATTATATCTAGCATTTATATCCAGACATTATCTAAACAGGCTATTCAGATCCTAGTAAGGGAATGTCAAACTCTAAATTCATTTTTTAAAGAGTGAATTGCCTGCAGTTCTGCCACATCATCTTTCTGATTTTTGCTAGGATCATTTGATTTTGGAGGGAAAAACTGCTGTTTTCATACAATATAGTGGTCTGCTTTCAAAGACTACTGCAGACAGTTTTCTCATTTAAGTACTTCAGAGGTAGGTAGACAGCAGAAAATCTCAGTATTTATCACTGGCTGTTTCCTTCTTTGCAGAAGACTGTGCCCCAGAGCATACAAGAGGTCTGGTTTAATAAGAGAAGACACAGAAGAGCAAAACATCGCACTTAGCTGCCTGGGATGGAGTTATGTTTATACTCAGAGCTGCAGCCAAGCTCTGAAGCATGGGTCATGCACTGCAGCATCTATCCAGCCCAAAATACCATGCTCTCTCATGCATGCCTGATGATGTGAAAATTAAAACCTGAAAGTGTGAGGCAGTTACCAGGTGGTTTCATGACTTATTTGCAACATTGCTAGCTCCAGCAGAACTTTGTCCCCATATTTTCCATTGATCCAGCTCCTAACACAGTGAAGAGCTAGACTTCAGTATTGCTTTGTACTCAATTGCCATCCTCAACAGATTCCCATCACACATGCCCCTGGATGGGCAACTTTGAGTCCATTGCCTCAAGACAATTTTCTTTTCCTGCATCTAGTTGTTGGGGAAAAAATATAAAAAATAATCAGGGTGCTTTCTCTCATGTTTAATCAACAGGATGACTGTTCAGTTTGAGTGCTTACACTGATACTATTAAGAATATGCTTTAAGATAAAGAGATGTGCCCCATCACTTAAACAGTAATTAGCATGCAATGGGCAGATATGAGAGAATGGAGAAGACAAAGTCCATCTGTTTTTTTGAAAGGTCTTTCACTCCTCCCACACATAACAATCAAGTGGATTTTCCTGTCCCTAGTGACATGCTGTGATCCACTGGAGGAGTTCTGCTGGACAAAGCTCTCCCTTGGAGGCAGACTGAGCCTGCAGTGCTCATCAGTATGAAACACCAAGAGCTGAAGATAAAGCAACAGCTGGGCTCTGCTTAAGAAAAATCTCCAGCTTGAGTGATATGGAGGTCACACTTCACAGTAATTCTTTTCCTGGAAGAAGCTGGGTGAAATGTTCCAGCTCTGTATCAGGTAAATAATTTCTGCCTCCCACTTCTGTCTGCATTCCTTAATCAAATATTCATTTAGGCATGATACTGATGGGTTGCTGGATACAACAAATGGAAAATCACCACTGAAATTGATACAGCTGACTCCAACTGACTCAGTAAGTACCATTTTTTGCTGTAAGGAAAAGAAAAAAGGAATTTTGAGATTGTTTATAATCTCTAAATCCTTTATCCCCCAAGAAGCAGAATGTATGACTGCAGGAAGACTCTAAGCAATTAGAGTTCTTGCCCTTGGCTATTAAAACTGAAGCAAATTTCCACCTTACCTCCTTCAAGAGGAATACTGACATTTTTGACTTAGGTTATTTATCAGGATGATTTTTACCTGTAACTGGATTTGGAACAGAAAGATGAGATAAGGTCTGCTCTCAATTCCTGATGCCTTTGCAAGCCAAAGGTGCCAATGAATCCCAATCCTGCTGCCAGTGAATGCCTGTGTCTAGGCAACATGGAATTGTTTCTTAGGTGGAAACTAACGTGCACCTGTGCCAAGAACAATGGTCTGAGTCTTAGCAAACCACCTTTGCAACTGCTGTTGGGTAAAAATCGCTCTGCAAAGCTCGAGGAGAATACAGTGAAAGGAGATGTCAGGGTTGCCTCAAAGACAAACCCACCTTCCTCCTTTCCGATAAACAGGAACACTCTTGACACGGCAGAGGAAGAAGACAAGCATGGGAAGCAGGAGGAGGATCCTCCTCTCCTTGAGTCTTTGTGCCTTAGAGGAATCAAACAGAGCAGATGCAGCTCAGAAGAAACTGCAACCTCAGCACTTCATGTTTTCAGCATCACCAGGGAGGTCTGCTCACCAGCCTCACTCAGAAATGTCCCTCTAGAGGTGGCTACTGCAGACTCCCACACTCAGCTATGAACCGCAAGCTAGTCAGTTAAGAAGTGAAACTGGAATAAACTAGTGAACTCAGTCAAAACTCATCCTTGCTCTAGGAAGGAAAACACTTCTGCATTTTGCTGTCTCTGTCTTCCCTTTCCTCCCCAGTGTGCAGAAACACATGTGTTCATAGCGTGTCAAACAGGGGTGGAGACAGATGCAACACCTTGGGTTTGGGCAAAGCAATGATGCAACTGCAGTGAAACAGGAGAGAAAGCCACTCTGGGGGCATTGGCCAGGTTGCAGAGCAAGTCCCACCACATGGATTGAACACATGGTAAGATGAGCTTTCCCCATCCATGCTCGACCAAGCCTCATCTAGCAGAGTCATTGCAGCTTGCTGAATGTTTTTATCTCCTTCACTGCACATCAGCTCCTCTCCTTTAGAGCCTTCCTCTAGTCATTCCCCAGATGCAGAAATACAGCCAGTGCTGCAATTCAGAGCAGCCTTTGATGTCTCCTGTGGAAAATG